CGTCAACGAGGGTCATAACTGAGTTTAGTTACGCCTTAGAGAAGGTGAACCTCCTAACAGAGGTACTTTATTTATTTATTTCAGGTACTTATATAGCGCCGTCAATTTTACGCAGTGCTTTTACATATATGTTGTACATTCACATTGGTCCCTAACCCTCAAGGGGTGTACAATCTAAGGTCCCTAAGTCACAGTCATACATACACATACTAGGGACAATTTAGACAGGAGCCAATTAACCTACCAGCATGTCTTTGGAGTGTGAGAGGAAACCGGAGTACATGGAGGAAACCCACGCAGACACAGGGAGAACATGCAAACTCCAGGCAGGTGGTGCTGTGGCTGGGATTCGAACCAACGACCCTAGTATTGCCAGGCAGAATTGCTAACCAATTAGCCACTGTGCTGCACTGTACTTTAAATCACTATTGCAATCAAATGGCGATTGAATCTGGTTTAAATTGATGAAATACTGTATTACTATGTGTATAGCTAGCATCTGGCTTGAGTATCGGTTGTGGCTGTGGGAGAGTGAAAGGCTCTAGGTGGCAGGTGCCATCTGTGGCTGTGCAGGGGTTAGCAGCATTTGGTTACAGAGCAGGGTTAGGGATGCTCTCCAGTGTTCTATTATTCATTGTCTATGGTGATCAATACTATTATTAGGTTACAGTAGATCAGCTGTGGCTTTTAAAGGGTTAATAGCATTAGGTAACAATCCGGTGGTCCTGAAAGGGTTAAAAAGTAGGGTATGTGTTATGGAAGGTCACTAATGCTATGTTATTCATTGTCTAGGGTTGTGGACGAATCAATCCGATTTGGTTACATTATATGAGCTGTAAAATGGTTAGTTGCAATGAAGTGACAGTGCTGTGGCTCTGAAGGGGGTTAAAGTGGCTGTAAACCCTTACCTATACCCAGTGAAGTGACTGGCCTCAGGTGACACATAGAAATTAAAGTGATTCCAAAGGCTTAACCTTTTTTTTTTTCTTTTAAATAACAAACATGTCTCTACTTACCTACTGTGTGTAGTGGTTTTGCACACAGCAGCCCGGATCCTCCTCTTCTCAGGTCACCTGCTGATGCTCCTGGCCCCTCCCTCCTGTTGGGTGCCCCCACAGCAAGCAGCTTGCTATGGAGGCACCCGAGCATGCGCACTCCCCACCCGCTGCTCCATGTCTCCATTCACACGCAAAGCTGTGGATCGGCCCCGCCCCCTCTCTCTTCTCATTGGCTCACTGGCTGTAACTGAAAGCAACAGGAGCCATTGGGCTCAGCCAATAAGGAGAGGGAGCCCCAGGATAGCGGAGACTCCAGTGCACATTGCTGGATCAAGAGGGGGCTTAGGTGAGTATTGGGGGGGCTGGTGCACAGAGAAGGTTTTTTACCTTCATAACTAGACTGCATGAAGGTAAAAAACCTTGAGCCTTTACAACCACTTAAAAAAAAAAATCCTCCAACGTCAGTTGTACCTGTTTATCTGCGGTCTTTTCTTCTCTACATCTGTTCAAAGTGCTTAATTTATACAGCTCGTCTGAGCTTCCAAAAAGCAGGGAGCAGAAAGCTCAATGAGAGCCGATTGGAGGAAAGGGCCACATCCTCCTTCACACAGGAGCAGAGCTGAGGCTGCCAATCACAGGCTGCTGGAGCCCCCTCCCCATCTTTTTCTTGGTGTCAGGCAAACTGGTCAGAAGTGACAGCAGAGCAATGAGGCAGCAGACAGAAATGACACTTAGTGCACTTAACAGAGACAAGTACACACTATAGAGCGGGGTGCTCAACCTTTTGAAGAGTGAGGGCCAGTTAAGTGATTTGTGTCCTGGGTTACAACGAACTATGGGGCTTTACCTCCCCCCCAAACTACAAAAGTAAACAAGCCCATACTGTCCTGAGCCTCCTATAAGGCCACGTTTACACTGATATGCTGCACTTTATCTGCCATCACTCTCCAGGCTGCTAGAAAGGATTTGAGGCGGAGTGCACTGGGTATCACTCCACCTGGGACAGGAGCTGGCATCACAGAGGAGGCATCGGCTTATGCTGCTCCTGCTCCCTCCACTGCCGGCACCGATTCACTGCACTCTGATGCTCTGGATCACGATCATGATCAATGGGTTGCCGACCCCGAGTGTGCGTTTCCCTGCTTTGAGGTTGCGGGCCACAGGTTGCGCACTCCTGATATAGAGGGATCAACTTTGTTCACAATTCATGTCTGAAGTTTACAACCACTTTACGGTATTTGTTATAGAAGACATGCTGGTAGGTGAATTGGATCCTGTCTAAATTGTCCCTAGTATGTGTGTATATGAATGTAAGTTAGGGACCTTAGATTGTACGCCCCTTGAGGGTTAGGGACCTTAGATTGTGCGCCCCTTGAGGGTTAGGGACCTTAGATTGTGCGCCCCTTGAGGGTTAGGGACCTTAGATTGTGCGCCCCTTGAGGGTTAGGGACCTTAGATTGTGCGCCCCTTGAGGGTTAGGGACCTTAGATTGTGCGCCCCTTGAGGGTGGTTAGGGACCTTAGATTGTGCGCCCCTTGAGGGTTAGGGACCTTAGATTGTACGCCCTTGAGGGTTGACCTTAGATTGGGTCAGGGACTGATGTGAATGTACAATATATATGTAAAGTGCTGCATAAATTGATGGCGCTATATAAGTACCTGAAATAAATGAATAGAAGGTCACAATTGTTAGACTATAATTTATGGCTATAGACAGATGAATATAATAGCACAGTGAAGGTGCAGGGTTTCCCCTAGACGACTAGGTTCACACCTATGCAGGTTGCGTTTGAGCAGTTTCTGTATTGTGTTTTGTGCTGTGTTTTTTGCACCTGCGTTTTTTCAGGGGGGTTTTCGTGTTTTTTTTAATTTTTCTTAATGCTAAGTAGATTTAAAACGCAAAATGCAGCAAAAAATGCAATACATGCTTTTCTGCAGCGTTTCCTTTGAAGTCTATAAAACCAAAAACACAGCTTTTTGTGTTCAAAAAAGTCACTGACCCTTTCCAAAAACGCATCAGGTGAAAAGACGCAGATGTGAACATGTCCCATAGGAAATCATGTTAAATGGACCATACTGCATTTCTGCAAAACTCTGCAGAAAACACTTAGGTGTGAACCTAGGGTTACTAGCAGTTTCATACGGGATGCAATTTAGTGCGTTTTTTTTATCAACATGTCCAGTGTTTTCCATGGATTCCAATGGTGCTAGTTCACACCAGTGCAGACAACAAAAGTAGAACATGCTGCATTTTTTCTGTATGAAAAGTGCATCAAAAAATGCACAGGGACGCATGTAAATACACAAGAATGCACATATCCTGAACTGAGATGAAGAAAAAAAAGGGGGAAAAAGCACCAGAGCGCATCAAAAACACGCATGCAGAAACGCACATGGAGCGCAGACATTGTGATGTGAACTAGACCGGTTTTTTTTCATGCACATTGAAGTGCGTTTACATGCGTCTTTCCTATGTGTTTGCTTGTAATTCCTTTGAGTTCAAAAACACATCTGGTGTGAATGGGTTAATATGATGAAGTGACAGTGCTGTGCCTCTGAAGGGGATTACTATGGAAGGTCACTGATCTTGTCCTGTACCCCTGACCTGTGTTGGGGGGTCACACGTTGAAGGGTTAATCCTACTACCAGCAGTGAAGGGGTTCACCATAGGAGATGAATGGGAAGAACTGCAGGCAGTGATGAGAGGGATGCTGGTACACAATGGATCTCCCAAGCTGTAATGTCTCTATGGGGACACAATGTATCAGCACAGGAAGGATATGGGTATCTCTTGTCTTGTACGGGGTCATTACACTGGGATTGTATGGGGTTAATGTGGGGGATGGGCGGTGCCAGCCACTCCCCCTGTACTGATCGATGATCACTGACCTCCCGGTGATCGGTGCTCCCCCTCCGCCCGGTGTCCGGCACTCTCCCGGCTCGTCCTTGTTTGTGCTGTCCTTTGACAGCGCCGGATGTGACGCCCGGAGGAGGAGGAGGCCGGGCCCCCCGCACACACCTCCCGGACCGGCCACTATCACTGGCTGCACCCGTGGAGGAGGCGGAGCCGAAAAGGCGGGGGGCGGTACACTGTGCGCGTGCTGAGGGGAACGGTACATCGCTGTGTGTGCATATAGGGAGGGGGGAATCCTGACATCGCTGTGTATGGAGGGAGGGGGGAATCCTGACATCGCTGTGTATGGATGAAGGGGGGAATCCTGACATCGCTGTGTATGGAGGGAGGGGGGAATCCTGACATCGCTGTGTATGGATGAAGGGGGGAATCCTGACATCGCTGTGTATGGATGAAGGGGGGAATCCTGACATCACTGTGTATGGATGGAGGGGGATACTGACATCACTGTGCATGGAGGGAGGGGGAATCCTGACATCACTGTGTATGGAGGGAGGGGGGAATCCTGACATCGCTGTGTATGGATGAAGGGGGAATCCTGACATCGCTGTGTATGGATGAAGGGGGGAATCCTGACATCGCTGTGTATGGATGAAGGGGGGAATCCTGACATCGCTGTGTATGGATGAAGGGGGGAATCCTGACATCACTGTGTATGGATGGAGGGGGATACTGACATCACTGTGCATGGAGGGAGGGGGAATCCTGACATCACTGTGTATGGATGGGGGGAGATACTTACATCACTGTGTATGGAGGGGGGGGGGGGGGGATTGAATCCTGACATCACTGTGTATGGATGGGAGGGGGATACTGACATCACTGTGTATGGAGGGAGGGGGAATCCTGACATCACTGTGTATGGATGGGGGGAGATACTGACATCACTGTGTATGGATGGGGGGGGGGGGGGGGATTGAATCCTGACATCACTGTGTATGGATGGGGGGGGGATACTGACATCACTGTGTATGGAGGGAGGGGGGAATCCTGACATCACTGTGTATGGATGGGGGGGGATACTGACATCACTGTGTATGGAGGGGGGGGAGTACTTCTGACATCACTGTGTATGGATGGGGGGGGGGATACTGACATCACTGTGTATGGGGGGGGGATCCTGACATCACTGTGTATGGATGGGGGGGGGGGGGGGATACTGACATCACTGTGTATGGATGGAGGGGGGATACTAACATCACTGTGTATGGATGGAGGGGGAATATTGACATCACTGTGTATGGATGGGGGGGGGATATTGACATCACTGTGTATGGATGGGGGGGGGGAGGATACTGACATCACTGTGTGTATGGAGGGGGGAGTACTGACCAGGGGCGGACTGGCAACTCATGGGGCCCCCGGGCAATAGGGGATCATGGGGCCCCTGTGTCCTTGCCCAAATTTAAAAAAGCCTATGAAAAAGGTACCAGGGGCATCTCATGGGGCCCCCTACTGACCCCAGGCCCTCGGGCAGTGCCTGAGTTTCCAAAATGGTCAGTCCACCCCTGGTACTGACATCACTGTGTGGAGGGGGGGGATACTGACATCATTGTGTATGGAGGGGGGGGGGGGGGATACTGACATCACTATGTATCGATGGAGGGGGGATGCTGACATCATTGTGTGTATGTATGACATCACTGTGGGGGGGGGGGGTACTGACATCACTGTGTATGGGGGGGGGGATACAGACGTCACTGTGTATGGATGGAGGAGGGATACTGACATCACTGTGTGTATGGAGGTGGGAGATACTGACATCACTGTGTATGGAGGTGGGAGATACTGACATCATTGTGTGTATGGGGGGGGGGGGGGATACTGACATCATTGTGTGTATGGATGGGGGAGATACTGACATCATTGTGTGTGTGGAGGGGGGGATACTTGCATCACTGTGTGTGTGTGTGGAGGGCAATACTGGCATCACTGTGTGTATGGGGGGGAGCAGGAGCGGACTGACAGCTCATGGGGCCCCCGGGCAATAGGGGATCATGGGTCCCCCCAGTCAATAGGGAATCATGGGGCCCCTGTGTCCTTGCCCAAACTCAAAAAAGCCTATGAAAAAGGTACCAGGGGTATCTCATGGGGTCCCCTACTGACCCCGGGCCCTCGGGCAGTGCCTGAGTTTCCAAATGGTCAATCCGCCCCTGGGGGGGGGGGGAGAGGCTAACATCACTGTGTATGGAGGGGGATACTGTCATTACAGTGTGTGTGGAGGGAGGAGGAATCCTGACATCACTGTGTGTGGAGGGTGGAGGGGGGGGGGGGGGGGTATCCTGACATCACTGTGTGTATGGAGGGGGGGGGGGATTACTGACATTACTGTGTATGGATGGGGGAGATACTGACATCACTGTGTGTGTGTGGGGGGCAATACTGGCATCACTGTGTGTATGGGGGGGTAGATACTAACATCGTTGTGTGTATGGGGTGGGGGGGGACAATACTGACATCACTGTGTGTATGGGGGGAGATACTAGCATCACTGTGTAAGGGGGGGGGGGGGGGCGGGGGCAATTCTGACATCACTGTGTGTATGGAGGGAGGTTCCTGACATCATTATTTGTTTGGGGGGGATAGTGACATCATTGTGTGTATATGATGTGGGGGTGGAGCCTGACATCATAATGTGTTTTGGGGGAGGGGGACAGTGACATCACTGTGTACAGGGCGGGAGGGAATTATGACAAGGGACTGTATGTTGAAGGGGAGAAAATACTATCAGCAGTGTGTAGGGAATACTGCCATCTCCGTGTGCACGTTACGTGATGGGACGATGCATTTTCTATGGGAAAGTCCTAAGTGTTGTCATCAGAAGAGGACTGGAAGGAAACCTTTCATGGGGACACTTGTTCCAGTGATAGATGTGTAAGAGGGTGATTGGTTCAATGGGGAGAGATATGCTGTTCTGTCTTTGGGATGGGAAGTAAAGGTTAATATCCACAATAGGACGCAGATTTTCTGGAGCAGGGGTCTCCAAACTATGGCCCGTGGGCCACATGAGGTCCACAGCTGATGTTCACAGTCTCTGCCCCACCGCCCAAACAGAGTAACTGATGTAAGGAGGGACTCTGATTAGGACATTAATATAAAAGGAGAATCTGGTGAGGACATTGCGGTAAGGAGGGGCTCTCATGGGAACACTGATGTATAGGGGGGACTCTGGTGAGGGCAATGATCTAAAAAGGGAAACTGATGTAAGGGAGGCTCTGGTGAGGACACTGATGTAAGGAGGGACTCTGCTGGGGATACTGATGTAAGGTAGGCTTGGTGGGGACACTGATGTAAGGAGGGACTCTGTTGGGGATACTGATGTAAGGAGGGACTCTGTTGGGGATACTGATGTAAGGAGGGACTCTGTTGGGGATACTGATGTAAGGAGGGACTCTGTTGGGGATAGATGATGTAAGGAGGGGACTACTCGCTGCTGGAGATACTGATGTAAGGAGGGACTCTGTTGGAGATACTGATGTAAGGAGGGATTCTGATAGGGGGACTGATGTAAGGGGGACTCTGCTGGAGATACTGATGTAAGGAGGGACTCTGTTTGCAGGGGTCTCCAAAAACTATGGCCCGTGGGCCACATGAGGTCCACAGCTGATGTTCACAGTCTCTGCCCCACCGCCCAACAGAGTAACTGATGTAAGGAGGGACTCTGATTAGGACATTAATATAAAAGGAGAATCTGGTGAGGACATTGCGGTAAGGAGGGGCTCTCATGGGAACACTGATGTATAGGGGGGACTCTGGTGAGGGCAATGATCTAAAAAGGGAAACTGATGTAAGGGAGGCTCTGGTGAGGACACTGATGTAAGGAGGGACTCTGCTGGGGATACTGATGTAAGGTAGGCTCTGGTGGGGACACTGATGTAAGGAGGGACTCTGTTGGGGATACTGATGTAAGGAGGGACTCTGTTGGGGATACTGATGTAAGGAGGGACTCTGTTGGGGATACTGATGTAAGGAGGGACTCTGTTGGGGATACTGATGTAAGGAGGGACTCTGTTGGAGATACTGATGTAAGGAGGTATTCTGATAGGGGGACTGATGTAAGGGGGACTCTGCTGGAGATACTGATGTAAGGAGGGACTCTGTTTGGGATACTGATGTAAGGAGGGATTCTGTGGAGATACTGATGTAAGGAGGGACTCTGCTGGAGATACTGATGTAAGGAGGGACTCTGCTTGAGATAATGATGTAAGGAGGGACTCTGCTTGAGATAATGATGTAAGGAGGGACTCTGCTGGAGATACTGATGTAAGGAGGGACTCTGCTGGAGATACTGATGTAAGGAGGGACTCTGCTTGAGATAATGATGTAAGGAGGGACTCTGCTTGAGATACTGATGTAAGGAGGGACTCTGCTGGAGATACTGATGTAAGGAGGGACTCTGCTGGAGATACTGATGTAAGGAGGAACTCTGGTGAGGACACTGACTGAAGGTGGGACTCTGGTGAGGACAATGATGTAAGGGCGGGGGGCTCTGATGGGGACACTGATGTAAGGCGGATTTGCTTTGTTTTCCTAAAATTCTTTCTCTTTTGTTCTGAATCATATTCTGATTATAAAAGTGATTAAAGTAAAAATAAATGAATTCATTTAAATGATATTTATTTGTAAAGTGATGTTTTTCTGTCCTGCATGTATTTGTGGCCCTTGTACTGAACAGTTCGGAGACCCCTGTTTAGAGCATAATTGAATGTGATTGTAAACCTCTGACATATAAAATGAACAAAGCATATCCATCTATAATGGGTATTTGCCTCAGTCCAAAGCACCTAGTGTGATTTATGTCTGCAGTCTCCTTCCTTTTATATTTTTATAGGTCATTGCTGACAAGCTGTGTGGACTCCAAGGGATTGAGGGGGGTGGGGAGCTCTAGCACACAGCCTGTGATTGACAGCTATGAACATTTCCTTATGAGATTCTGTAGAGGGGGGTGTATCCCTTCCCACAATTCAGGTCTCAGATTACATTCAGTTCTGCTCTCTGAGCTGTGCAGTGTGTGACATCAGATCCCTGTCACCTGCCTGAGAAAGCTCAGAAATTCTGTCTAAAATATGTGCTTTAGGGGGCTGCAGATACACTGGGACAACTGTAGGATGATTATTTAATCTCTGTATATCACCTGAGGCCAGTCACTTCACTGAGGTACCTACCACCTATCCAGAAGAAGTGATACCAGTGTTGCTGCATGACATCAGTGGGGTTTGAATCCCAGGAGACCGGGCAATAGGAAGTGCACATACAGGAAGCATCCAGGGGTGATCCAAAAGGCTCTGTGGCCCTTTGGGGTCACTGAGTGGAGGTGACAGGCCATTGTAGCCATTGAAGGATTACATATTGGTGTGCTGTGCACCCACACTGCATACATTGCATGCTCTGGAGCAGTGAAGCACCTGGATTGTGTTATTCACATAAATAGACTTTTATTTCAGTTTCACATATTGATTTAATGTGTTATTTTTCTCATCAGTTGTTTGTACACATTTGGCACATATTATATATATCCCACAATTGGGATTCACAATATACACGTGTTGTGTGTATAATTTAGTTTCTGTATCCCATTATTGGGAGTCACTGTTATACACTTTTTGGTTGTATCCCAATATAGGGATTGGGTTTATATTCATTATTGTGTGATTTATCACTTATTTATAGGTCACCTATTGCGTCCACGAGCAGGACCACGTGTGTTGTTTCACTATATTCACCATATATATTATGTATACATAATTTTAGATTCATATATTTATGTAGCTCTACACCACTTGTTATTTTTAAGTATATTTTTTCACCTATAGGTAAAGGATTGAGGGATCAGCTGCATAGTGTGGTATTTAGGTACATATTTAGCGCAGGGGGAATAATACATGAAATAAACTATGCTACCCAATGTACCCTCTCCTCTTCCCACTTGCCGTCTGGCAATCATTACATGTTGAGTAGTTTTTGCCGCAGGCACAAATCATCGTGACCACGGCATGCAAACATTCCTGTCTGCTGGCTATTGCAGCTTAAGGAGGGGTGGTAAATATGTGGCTCAGGCATGCATGTCTACTGTCCTCCCAAATGAGGCTTAAGTTAAAAACACATATACAAGGTGCAATAAATAAATGAAATAAAGTAGGCTACCCTAAATGCATGACCCTGTAAAAAACCCATCCCCCCAATAATTTTTTTAGTGCAAATTTTGCATAGGTGGCCCATTTAAGCAAAATTTTGTTGTTGAAATATCAATTTTACAACACCCCCCCCCCCCCCCCTTTCCTAGTCCTATTCTATTGGGAAGTGTACAGTGTGTATTGTGATGGCAGTATCTCCTGTCAGCACGGCTCTGAGGTGCTTATTCACAGATGACTGACAAATCACCTGCAAGTCATCTGGGCAGCTAAGACAGAACATGTTCTCACTATTAGGTTCCAATGTGTGCCACGGAGGTCTTATTTTGGAAATACAAAGTGATCCTTCACTGCAAGTTAACATCTGCCAAGATATATATTATCTATCTAATAAA